GGGGGGGGGGGGGGGGCCTCCCCCTCCCCCCCTTCCCCCTCGCGGTGCTGCGAGAAGCCGGAACCTCCCCCTGCCCCGCCACAGGCCCTGCCCCTGGTGTCCTGGTCCAGGCGCCTGGAGTTGCAAGGGGAGCTGACCGAGTTAGGGTGCCGGAGGGGGGGTGTGCTGTTCACGTCGCGCCCCCGCTTCACCCCCCTCTGCCTGCTGCTCTTCAGCGACCTGCTGCTCATCACTCAGCCCAAGAGGTGGGTCCCAGGGAGGGAGGGAGGGAGCCCAGGCGGGGGTGGGGAGGGGGCGGGGCCAGCCGGAAGCCCCGTCCTCCCTCTGAACTGCCTCTCCCCTGGGCAGCGGGCAGCGGCTGCAGGTCCTGGACTATGCCCACCGCTCCCTGGTCCAGGCCCAGCAGGTTCCCGACCCGTCTGGACCCCCTACGTTCCGCCTCTCCCTCCTCAGCAACCATCAGGGCCGCCCCACCCACCGGCTCCTCCAAGCCTCCTCCCTGTGAGTCCCGTGGCCTTGAGAAAACACCCCTGGGACCCTCACTTGGCTTCTCAGGGCCGCCACCCTCCTCCGCAATCTCTCTCCTGTGCGACCCTCAGAAGGACCTCCCGCTTCAATAAGGGAAGGGAAGCAAAAATAAGATAAAAGCAGGGAGGGGGATAAAACATAAGAGACCCAGGGGCCCCCCGGGGGGCTCAGTCTGTAAAGCGTCAGACTTTTGCTCAGGTCATGATCTCCGGGTTCGTGGGTTCAAGCTCCCCGTCGGGCTCTGTGCTGACAGCTCGGAGCCTGGAGCCTGTTTCAGATTCTGTCTCCCTCTCCTTCTGCCCCTCCCCTCCTCACGCTGTCTCTCTCTCTCTCAGAAATAAATAAAATATTTAAAAAATTAAAAAAACAACCATAAGAGACTCAAATATGGAGAACAAACAGGCTGCTAGTGGGGGTGGGGGGGGATGGGCCAAGTGCGTGAGGGGCATTAAGGAATCTACTCCTGAAATCATTGCTGCACTACATGCTAACTAACTTGGATGTAAATTTTAAAAAATAAATTTAAAAAAAAGAAGGACCTCCCAGTTCAAACGTGACCCCTCCCTATGTCCCCACCAGATCTGACATGCAGCGCTGGCTGGGAGCCTTCCCCACCCCTGGCCCCCTTCCCTGTTCCCCGGACACCGTCTATGAGGACTGTGGTGAGTACCCCCCCCCAAGACAAGGGAAGGAGAAGTGAGGCCATAGGGGGAGATGGGGGAGAAGCTAAAAAGGGTCTTGAACCCGCTGTATGCCCCCCACCCCCAAGCAGACTGTTCCCAGGACCTGTGTTCAGAGCCTTCCACACCCACCAAGACTGAGGTACGGAGTCTGGAGTCCAGGGCTCCTCCCAGACCCCTGCACAAGAGCCCCGAAGGTGAGCGATTCTTTTATTTATTCATTTGGTGAATTAAAAAAAAAAAGTTTATTGATTTATTTAGAGAGGGAAGGGCAGAGAGAATCCTGATGTGGGGCTTGAACCCACAAATGATAGATCGTGGCTCGAGCTCAAATCAGGAGTCAGACACTTAACCGACTCGAGCACCCGGGCACCCCACGCTCAGTGGATGTTTATTAGGCACCTCCGAGGCGCTGCTCCCTGTCCTAGCCGCTGTGAACCCATCACCCGGACCCCTGCCTTGCTGGAACTGTCCAGCAGACAAGAAACAATAGCGAGGAAACAAATGTCAAAGTAAATGATAAGGGGGTGCCTGGCTTGAGCATCCGACTCTTGATCTCGGGTTCTTGAGTTCGGGGCCCCGCTTTGGGTGTAGGGATTACTTAAAAAAAAAAAAAAAGTAAATGATACAGTGTGTCAGAGTGTTATAAGGGGTGTGGGAAAACACAAGTGGAACAGGGTCAAGGTCAGGTGTCCCAGGATTGGGTCGGATTACAGTTTTTCTTATGTTTACTTATTTTTTAAGTTTATTTATTTTTGAGAGAGAGAGAGACAGCACAAGCAGGGGCAGACAGAGAGAGAGAGAGAGACAGAATCCGAAGCAGGCTCCAGGCTCTGAGCTGTCAGCACAGAGCCCGTGATGCGGGACTTGAACTCATGAACCACAAGATCATGATCTGAGCTGAAGTTGGATGCTTAACCGACTGAGCCACGCAGGCGCCCCAGGGTTACAGTTTAAAATAGAGAGGTCAATGGGATGCTGGCGCTCTCTCTCAAAATAAATAAGCTTAAAAAATCAAAATAGGGGCGCCTGGTGACTCATTCCATTAAGCGTCCAACTTCACCTCAGGTCATGATCTCTCGGTTCATGAGTTCAAGCCACAGGTCAGGCTGTGTGCTGATAGCTCGGAGCCTGGGGCCTGCTTCAGACTCTATGTCTCCCTCTCTCTCTGCCCCTTCCCTGCTCGTGTTCTGTCTGTCTCTCTCAAATAAACATTTAAATTAAAAATAAATAAATAGGGCGGTCAAGGTGCCCCTCAACAAGGAGGCACCATGTGAGCAGTGACTTGACAGAGGTGAAGAACTTAGTTAGGTACATGGTGTCTGGGGGAAGAGTGTCCCAGACCAAGGCAGGAGTCAGTGCAAAGGCCCTGTGGCCACAGTGTTTGAGGACTAGTAAGGAGGCCAGCCAGCGCGGTAGAGGGAGTGAAAAAAAGGGGAGAGAAACAGATGAGGTCACAGAAGTAAGGGGGACCAGACTGTGCGGGCCCCGGGAGGACTCCAGCTCTCCCTCCCGTGAGAGGAGCAGCCTTGATGAGAGATGAGCAGGGCTGGTCAGGAACGACGCACATCTTTTGTTGCTGCTTATGTCTCCACCGCTCAGGGCTTTTCTGCTGATGCTCTAGGCGTCTCCACTCCTCCCCACGCTCACCGTGACCCTCGGACCTCCTGTCCCTCCTGACCCGCCCACCGTCCCGACTCCACTTGGGCCCCTGTCTCTCTTTCCCCAGGCTGGCTAAAGGGCTTTCCCGGGGCCTTCCCTGCCCAGTTGGTGTGCGAAGTCACGGGGGAACACGAAAGGAGGAAGCACCTTCGGCAGCACCAGAGGCTCCTCGAGGCTGTTGGGCCCTCTTCGGGCCCCCCCAGAGCCCCCCCACCCTAAGGCCGGCCGGGGGGGGGGGGTCGGTGGTGGTGGGACAGCTGGCGCGTGGCACGGGGAGGGCAAAGCCCATCCATCCGTCGGATTCGCTGTCAGTGCAAACGCTACCTCTATTGGCAACCAATAGGGACGGAGCTTCAGGAGAGGGCAGCCAATGAACACCCGAGAAGGAGAAGGAGGGCGGCTTGAGTGAGTGGCCAATGGAGACAGAGGTTTAGTGCAGAGCAGCCAATGGGCGCTGAGCTGGCCGAGCCCCTGGCCAATGAATATCCCTGCTCCGCTCACAGGCAAGAAAGGCTAAGCTCGGTCAATAAAGTTTTAAAAAGGGCTGCGTTGGAGGTCAAGTCTTAGGATAAAACAGCCAGTGGCCATTAGCAGGGCGCCATCCGGCCACAGGAGATGGGGGCCTGGGCCCGAGAGACCGGTAGTGACCCTGCCTGGTTCTCCAGCCACGACTGTCCTGCCCTTTGAGTCTGAGAAACTAGATTCCATTCCTAGGGTGTCTCCTGTGCCCTCTCAAGCCACTTCCTCCCTTCTAGAAGAATCCAGAGTGTGCGTCTCAGAGAACCTGTGTGTGTGCGCGCGTGTCTCTGGATGTATCCGGGAAGGAGATTCTGCTGAACAGAGAGAGAGAGAGAGACTGTGTGTGTGTGTGTGTGTGTGGTCTTGCCCCCTCCCAGGTGGCCAAGTGCTCCCTGTCTCCCTTCGCCTCCTGTTTTTCCCATTATTCTCTCCAAGGAGGCAGGAGTTCTGAGCTCCGGAGGAGATGTGCTGGGTGTGGCTTGGCAGGCAGCCAGAGGCCAGCGTTGGGGGTGAGAGGGCTGGGCGCTGGGCCAGGGGTCCATGGCAGCTGGAGGGTGACGCGATGGATAAGCCACGCGGCCTGGGAGCGGATGAACATGACCAGCAGCTGCAGCCTGAAGCCCCCTGAAGCTTCTTTGCGGAAAACTTGGCCTCCGGCCTGAACCGTATCCAGTCATGCAGCCCCAGCTGCGGGCTTCAGACCCGCTCCGGGTCTGGGCGAAGAGACAGGAGCTGTGGATAAGATGGGCGGGTGAGCCTCCCCCCTTCATCCTGGCCCTCCCACAGAGACACTGGCAAGGGTGCAGAGAAAACAAAGAGCCAGTGTGGCTCCCCATCCCCCTCCGGAGCATCTCCTTCCAGGGGAGAAACCGCCCTGCAGGATGCCAGAAGGAGGTGAGGGATGGAGCCAGTGCAGGGCAGGCAGTTGCTGGCGAGGAGGGGGGCCCAGGCCTGGCACCAGGCCCCCCCTGAGCTAGACCATCACACTGTCCCTTCTGCTCATGCGTGGCAACCGACCGAGGACAGCAACTGCCACGCCAGCCGCAGGAGGAGGAAGGACTGGGGGACCCAGAGGGAGAAAGGGACTGGCATTTGGCCGCCCAGATTTGCGCGGTGCCCGGCATATGAGAACCCCTCAGTAAATGTTGGCGGATCTGTATCGAGGGGAGTGTGTGCTTAAAGTTTCCAAAGTGAGCCTTTGTAAGGGGGGTGGGGCTGCTTGGAAAGAGATTCTTTGGGAGGCGGGGTCAGTTCTGCTGGGCCTGGGGCTCGGAGACCAGGAGCATGGCCTGAGTGTGTTGGCCCACTTGTTCCTCGGGGGATCTAGGCAGGGGTGGGGATGGGTCTGCAGATGCTGGGGCAGAGTGCGGTTGCGGGTTGGGAAAGATGACGGACAGGGGACTTCAGCAGGGGATGAAGACATGGGAAAAAGGATCAAAAGGGCAATAAGGCAGCAGTGAACTTTATGGACCAGCCAAGCATCTCTTCCTTTCAATTCAATTCAACTCAATTCAATACCTGTTGATGGAGTGTCTTTTTTTTTTTTTTTTCTTTCTAGGAGAGAGAGAGAGACAGCGTGAGCAGGGGAGGGTCAGAGAGAGAGAAGTCACAGACTGAAACAGGCTCCAGGCTCTGAGCTGGCTGTCAGCACAGGGCCCGACGCGGGGCTCGAACCCATGAACCGCGAGATCATGACCTAAGCGAAAGTCGGACGCTTAACCGACTAAGCCACCCAGGCGCCCCTTATGAAGTGTCTTCTATGCACCAGGCACTGTTCTAGTGCCTGGGGGGTGGGGGTGGGGAGTACAGAGATGAAAAAGACAAGGATCTTGGCCTCAAGGAGGAGCCTACATTCTGGGTTGGAGGGGCGGAGAACAGATAGCAAGTAAACAATAAGTTAGGGAGCAGTGAGTGCTGTGAAGAAAATACAGCAAGGGCTGGGGTACAGAATGCTGTGTGTGTGTGTGTGTGTGTGTGTGTGTGTGGCTTTGGGGAAGACCCTAGAGGTGATGTTTGAGCTGAGATCCAAATGACAAGAAGGAAGCAGCCCTGGGAAGATCTGGGCAAAGAGCATTCTGGGGATGGCAATAGGGAGACGGAAGTTCCAGGAAGAGGAGGTAGTGGTCGTGGGAGGGGCTGGTGCACACGCTCCTTGAAGTTGCCTGGTGGGGGGAGCCCCTCCCCACCCCGCTCCCCTCTTTCTCTGAGATACTGAGCTAGATATGCAGAGGCAGACACACAGCTTCCCTCCAGGCTCCTCACCGCGCCCCCCACCCCTCATTCCTGCCCCTAAGGAAGCCTCCCTTCACCAGTTGACAAGTTCTAATATGGGATCATAGGGAGATGGAGAGCAGACCAGTGTTGTTCTGGGGACATAAAGACACACAGAATGCAACCAAAATGTTCCAAAAGAGACTGAAAAGACAGGGAGGCAAGGGGACAGTCATGCTTCTGTTACCTTTGGGACCCCTTTCCATGCTGGGGTGACCGGAGTGTGTCTGTGCAGCCCGGAGGGGTCTGCCTTCTGTGGGCCTGTGGGAGAGGGCCGAGGGGCATGACGCACGGCCATATGGGAAAGGTTGGTGGATGCAGGGAGTGAGGACCACCGTGAACATGGAGAAAGTGGGTGGGAGGGACGCCTGAGTGGCTGAGCAGCCGACTTCGGCTTAGGTCATGATCTCACGTTCGTGGGTTTGAGTCTGGCCCAGGCTCTGTGCTGACAGCCGACAGCTGGGAGCCTGGAGCCTGCTTTGGATTCTGTGTCTCCCTCTCTTTGCGCCTCCCCTCCGCCCCCCACCCCACTCTCTCTCAAAATAAATAAATATTAAAACAATTTTTTTAAAAAGTGGATGGCGGAAGGAATGGGGCAGAATAATGGGGTGGTAGAGGTGGCCCTGGTGGTGGTGGGTAACGTGCCGCACCCTACATTCTCTCCCTCCGTCTCCCATATGCTGTCTGCCAGGCATCTACCTCTCTGCCATAGTCGTGTACAGCTCCTTGACTTTGCGTAGCTCCTTGACCTTCTGGTTGCCGTCTGCAACTTCCTTGTAGGTGTGATTGGAGGGTCCGGGGCGGGGAAAGAGCCTCTTAGGGACCCCAGGGCTGCCATTCCAGGCATGGTGGTGCGGGTAGCAGGTGCAAACGTCCCAGACGATGATAGAGAGGTTCACTGACCCACGTGGAGAGTCCTGGGGCTGCCATTACCCCCATTCCCTCACATTCTGTTATGCTGGGGGGACTCGAGAAACAAATATTGTCAGAGGCCTGGGAAGGGGCAGGGGGGGAAGCTGGGCCCCCACTGGTGATCTCTCTTTGAGTCAGTAAGTCCTTTCTCCACCAAAAGCCTTGCTCCTCATACGAGTGGCCTCCACGCTTGGGGACTCGATGATAATGAAGATAGACAGGGCTCCGGCCTCTCTTTGGGTTGGCCCTTCTGTGGCCTCTGGGTCAACATCGTGGGGGCGGAGGGGGATGCAGTCGTGACCATGAGCAACAGGTGGAGGATAGGAGCTGTCCCCACTTCTCACAGCCAGCTCACTAGCTCTCTCCCCTCCCCTAGCCCCACTGAGCGCTCCAGCGCACCCCTTCCTGACATCCTTTCCAGAGCCCTTCAGCCTGGCTCCCTGTGCACCCCTGAAAGCTTGTCTCTTTCCCCTCCTTCCTTGTTCCCTGGGCTCGCGTCTCTCTTCAGGGATGGGGTAAGGGCTGGGTCCGCTCTCTGGGCTGCCCAGTTCACCAGACGGGCAGCCCATCCAGTGCAGGAGTAGGGTATCCACTGACCGCTCCTCCGCCTGCCTGGCGAACCCCAGGCCTTGCTCCCCAGCACGCCCAATCCAAACTGCGGCCTCCCCCCCCCCCCCCCCCCCCCCCCCCCCCCCCCCCCCCCCCAGAGGCCCCCACGCCCCCCCCCCCCCCGTCCTCCCCGCCCCAGCGGCCCCAGAGAGCCGCGGGCCAGGGGTAGAGGGGTGCAGAGGGGCGGAAGTCGCCCTGCGACCGCGCCTGGAGGGCCCGCACCCTCGGGGGCGTGGCCGGGTTCTCTCCGGGCTTCGAGCTCAGGGATTGGCCCCGTCCCAAGTCAGGGCCCCGCCCCCCGCGCCGGGCCCCGCCCCCCGCGCCGGGCCCCGCCCCTGCGGCGTGTGGAGGGCTTCCTGCCCTGGGTCTGTATCGAGTCCGGACGCTAGCGCTCGCCTCCCGCGCGAGACAGGGTCTAGGGTGGCGCCCCCCTCCCATCCCCACGCCGAGGAGCCCCCGAGGAGTTGAGGCGCAGGCCGCGGGCACGTGCGGGGCGCCTGTTCCCCGGGCCCTCCGCACCGACCCGCCCAGCTCGCGCCCCTACCCTCTCTCCGTCTCCCTCGGTGGTTCTGGGCCCTGGCAGAAGCTTGACATTTCAGCCCTTCCTTCATGACGATGGAGTTCTTGGGCATGGTTCTGCCCCCACTCTTCCTTCTATGGGAACTAACATAAATTTTTTTAAAAAAAAAGATTTTTATGTTTAAGTAATCTCTACACCCAACGTGGGGCTCGAACTCACAATCCCAAGATCAAGGCTCGCATGGTCCACGGTCTGAATCAGCCAGGTGCCCCTAAGGATACAAATCTTCCTGGTGAGAATTCTGCCACCCTCCCTCCGGAGAACACAGAAGTCACTATTTTGCTATTTGTAAAATACGATCTTCCCCTCCCTTTTTAAGGTATAATTTATAAAGTGTATGTATATTTTTTCCATTTTTAATTTTTATTTATATATTTCAATTTTAATTCTATCATAGTTAGCATACAGTCTTATATTGATTTCAGGTGTACGATGTAGTGACTCAACAACGCTATACATTATTAGGGTATATTTTATTTTATTAAAAAATTAAAAAAAATTTTAATGTTTTTATTTCTGAGAGAGAGAGAGAGAGAGAGAGAGACAGCATGAGCAGGGGAGGGGCAGAGAGAGAGGGAGACACAGAATCTGAAACAGGCTGCAGGCTCTAAGCTAGCTGTCAGCACAGAGCCGAATTTGGGGCTCGAACCCACTAACCGTGAGATCATGACCTGAGCAGAAGTTGGACGCTTAACCGACTGAGCCACCCAGGGGCCCCTATTATTAAAATCTTTTAAATATTTATTTTTGAGAGAGAGAGAGATAGAGTGTGAGTGGGGGAGGGGCAGAGAGAGAGGGAAATACAAAATCAGAAGCAGGTTCCAGGCTCTGAGCTGTCAGCACAGATCCGGACTCTGGTCTTGAATTTTGCCTTTTCTACAACGTCATATAAATGGAACCATACAGGATGTAGCCTTTCAAGTCCGACTTCTTTTGCTTAATGTAGTTGAGATTCATCTGCGGACTTTGTTACTTTTTACTGTTGAGTAATATTTCATTGTATGGATCCATGAGACCGTCCATTCCCTAGTGAAGGGACATTTGGGTTGTTTCTAGTTTTAAGTGATTACAAATAAAGCCATTATAAATATTCTTGTACAGGTTTTTGTGTGATAATTATCATTTCACTTGGGTATACACCTAGGATTGGCGCTGCT